GGGTGATGGGGGGGGTCGGTATTAGCTGGGTATCTGGGTGATGGCGGGGGTCGGTATTAGCTGGGTATCTGGGTGATGGGGGGGTCGGTATTAGCTGGCTGTTACCTGGGTATCTGGCTGTTACCTGGGTATCTGGTTAGCTGGCTGTTACCTGGGTATCTGGCTGTTACCTGGGTATCTGGTTAGCTGGCTGTTACCTGGTTAGCTGGTTAGCTGGCTGTTACCTGGTTAGCTGGCTGTTACCTGGGTATCTGGTTAGCTGGCTGTTACCTGGGTATCTGGTTAGCTGGCTGTTACCTGGTTAGCTGGGTATCTGGCTGTTACCTGGTTAGCTGGGTATCTGGTTACCTGGGTATCTGGTTACCTGGGTATCTGGTTACCTGGGTATCTGGTTACCTGGGTATCTGGTTACCTGGGTATCTGGTTACCTGGGTATCTGGTTACCTGGGTATCTGGTTAGCTGGGTATCTGGTTAGCTGGCTGTTACCTGGTTAGCTGGCTGTTACCTGGTTAGCTGGCTGTTACCTGGGTATCTGTTTAGCTGGCTGTTACCTGGTTAGCTGGGTATCTGGCTGTTACCTGGTTAGCTGGCTGTTACCTGGGTATCTGGTTAGCTGGCTGTTACCTGGGTATCTGGTTAGCTGGCTGTTACCTGGGTATCTGGTTAGCTGGCTGTTACCTGGTTAGCTGGCTGTTACCTGGGTATCTGGCTGTTACCTGGGTATCTGGCTGTTACCTGGGTATCTGGCTGTTACCTGGGTATCTGGTTAGCTGGCTGTTACCTGGTTAGCTGGCTGTTACCTGTTTACCTGGGTATCTGGTTAGCTGGCTGTTACCTGGGTATCTGGTTAGCTGGCTGTTACCTGGTTAGCTGGCTGTTACCTGGTTAGCTGGGTATCTGGTTAGCTGGCTGTTAGCTGGTTATCTCGGTGACAGATTCCCCGTCCAGCTGACACGAGCTGTTTCACTCAGGTTCACAGTAGAAGCGAGCTCCGGATTGGGCGGGGTCAGAGCAAGCTGCGCGCTGATTGGTTGGAGATATTCTGCTTCCGCCTCACTTCCGGTAACTGCTGCTCTCTAACGCCAGGCGCCGGTTTCTATGGCAACAACAACGCTTACCATAGAGTTCTAAAGACAGTCCGTGTCTGGGACAGCGAGAACCGCGCCTGGGGCGGGCGGCAAGGCGGGAGCAGCCATGGGAGGGGGG